CTCTATTTGATAGGGTGAGGAGCTCGGCCATCCGGGAGGAGCTCAGAGTAGAGCCACTATTCCTCCACATTGAGAGGTGCCAGCTGAGGTGGTTTGGGCATCTGATCCGGATGCCCCCTGGACGCCTCCCGGTGGGGGTGTACCAGGCACGGCCTACTGGAACAAGACCCCAGGGTCGTCCTAGGACCTGCTGGAGGGATTATACCTCCAAGTTGGCCTGGGAGCGGCTTGGGGTCCCCGGGAATGAGCTGGAGGAAGTTGCGGGGGACAGGGTCTCCCAACTGCTACCGCGACCCTATCTGGACTAAGCGGTTAACGATGATGATGATGATGTTCTGTATTATTATGTTTTATGTCACCATGTTGTAATTAGTATATTTTAGTAAACTGGACCATGATAGGTTCAAGCTGAAGCTCATTATGTACTAAACTAAGCTGCTATGTAGCGTCCCACGAATCACTTTTTCTGAATATACAGAGAAAGTCTGTGTATTCAATGATAAAATGTGAACTCTGCGCTATAAGAACACATTTAATACAAATGCCAGTCTACAGTCATAATAAGTATGGGGTAAAGTGTGTTTTTGCCAGTAAAACCACCATATAAATCACTCAAATAAATGCAAATAAATAAGTACAGTTTATTTGCTGCATTTGCCATGTCTGTATGCAATACAGGCCAATTTTAAAAGAGTAGTTGATATCTTGTGAGCTAGTTTAAAGTACAAAGTTTGGATCCAGATTTCTCCTAGATGCCTCCAGCCATCACATGGAGTCACTCAACTTCATTAATAGCACTACTGATTTAATTTAATGAAGTATTGATTTGCCAACATTGAATGATGATTATAATTATTACTGGGCTGCCATGATGAGAGGTTGGGAAATGGATCAACAAAAACTTTGACATGCATAAAATCACTACATATCGTACATTTGTAATACTGCTGTTTTTTTGAGCCAATAAACACTTACTGACAAGATGATTCGCATTTTTAAATACCATTTTCTCAGGCGTCTAAAACGTTTGCCATAAGAAAGCCATCCAAGAAGAGTTAATCAGAAGAAAGCAGAAGTTCTGTTTTCGTGCACAACCCTGCAGTGGTTTAGTTTATCACAGTTCAGCTCTGTGCTGATGCTTTGTGTGTATTTATCTTTAACACTATAAATATTGATAATTGACAGTTTTCTTTTTCAAACTATAGTAAAATTCACATATTGAAGCTTTTTTGGTACAAATGTTGTTTAAACACCTGATATCTGAGTGCTGACATCACAACAAGGGGATAAAGTGGGCATGGCCTTCCTGAGATAGAACTAATATCGACACAAGCATTTACATGTGTGATAGTTTTCCTCTAAAATAAACTTTTGACAGGCAGCATACATGTATATACGGTATATAAACTTTAAGACTAAAATGACATGGGTATTCAAAAACTTCAGTAAGACTATTCTAATCCGCAAAATCCTACTGTCCTCTCCATCCCTCAGTAAAAAGGACTCGTACTGAGCAATTGATTTTGTAACCACGGGCCACACCAATCACTCTGAAGGCCAAATCAATATGCCAATCTCTCCGCCATTTACCCTCCGTCCACTGCACTAAGACACCAAAGACAGTCGTCTCTATGACCACAGCAAATGCAGAACAGCACAACCACTTATTGGCCATTTTTAATCAGAAACACCTACAAAAAAGTTAGAGACCACCTTCAGACGTTTGAGTGTTCAGTGTGTCACTCTCTACCTTTATTCCAGCTTTCATTCTTTTCAGGAGACTAACTTTCAGTTATTCAAAAAAAACCTCCAAAGTTCAGTCTTAGAAGTTGGTTGATCATTTTCTGAAGTAATCAATACATTCAGTGATGATGAGGTCTGGACTCTGGGGTGGTCAGTCCATTGTTCAGCTTCTTTGTTTGATGTGTCTGTCTCCTTTTCTCAGTGAGGCTTCTTGACAGCTACACATCATTTCAGACCCATAGCGCTGAGTCGTCTTCTCACAGTGGAAGGATGGACAGAAACACCTGTGGATGTTTTCAGATCTGAAGCAGCTTAATTTTCTCCTCTCTCTCAAAGATGAAAGCTGTAAGTGCTGTTTATCTGATGTGGGCAGTTCTGGTGTCTTCCAGGTCTTCCAGGTGGTTGACACATCAAACAAAGAAGCTGAACAATGGACTGACCACAACACCACAAGAGTCCAGACCTCAACATCACTGAATGTGTTTGATTGCTTCAGAAAATGATCAACCAGCTTCTAAGACTGACCTTGGGAGGTGTGTCTGCAGATTTCTTTGAGAAACTGAAAGTTAGTCTCCTGAAAAGGATGGAAGCTGGAGTAAAGGTAAAGAGTGACACACACACAGCTGCGATTAGATTTAGCTGTTGTGTAAATTTCTGTTAAATGTTTTCAGATTTTTTTTTCCTGGCACTACAAAGTGAATAACTTATACTTAGCGACTGTTTTGACTGGAAATTAAAAAAAAAATGAAGGGTGGTCTCTCACTTTTGCATAGTACTGGGATTACATAATTCATTTCCAGTCTGTAAAGGACAGGCTCGAGTCTGCACTTCTGACTTTTTTTGTTTCAGCTTCAAACACAACATAAACAGCAAAACTGTAAACACTGTACGCACTACAATAACTTTTTATCAAACTCAGATCATAATAAAATTTCTCCTTATCTACTTGCAGACACTAATATAGTCTGGATTGAGAGTTTAGAATCTGCACTTTCCACATAATTTCTCCGCTTTTTTCACTGAACTACGAGTCAGAAATAATTCATACAAAACTACAGCATGTATTTGTTATCGCCAGAAATAAATACTGGGCAGCCCACACTGCTGAAAGAGAATGAACCAAAACAAAGAACGCACTAGACTTTCAACCAACTCCAGCTCCTGAGGGGGCACTACAACCACACTTCTTTCCAAACAAAGACTAAGCCTAGTCTCAGTCTGCAATCCCCTCAGGCTCTGTAATGTGGTCTGAGTTAACACCTGAACTGTGTATGGAAAATAAGCCTTAAAGGTCAGATATCGCTGCTACTGTTCCATCTACACTCTCTTTCAAGTATCAACAGAAGACTGAACGTCCATGCAGATGGTACAGCACAGATTTAACACCAAATAAACTGTAAAAGTGATAAACTACACTACTCTTAAAGATGGTTCTTTAACAGTCTTTAGTTGAAAAAAAGGTTCTACATAGAACACTCAAACAACCCTTTGCATGATTAAAAGGTTCTTTGCATCATGAAATTGTTCTTCAGATTGATGGAAAACGTGCATGAATGTGCTATAGACGGTCCCATATAGAACCTTTTTGAAAAGGGTTTTATATAGCACCCAAAAGTGTTCTTCTATTGTTAAGCTTGACTTTCATAAAAATGGTGAAAGAACCCTTTTAAGTGCTATATAGAATAATTTTTAAAAATCTATAACACATTTTTCATCAGTCTAAAGAACAATTTCATGATGCAATCATGCAAAGGGTTCTTTGAGTGTTCATGGTTCTATATAGGAACATTTTCTTTACTAAAGAAGCATCGAAACTATCTTTTTTGAGAGCGTACACTGAAACATATGTATAAAAAGTGTAGTGATAGAAGAGGAGGGTAAACTTTAGCAACCTCGCTTTATGATTCCCACATTTAGGGAATCATATGCCTTCAAAGAGGGACAATTATTTATTATCGCCCACCCCTAATTCTTCAGTGATATGACACTTAAGTCAGCTATTCGCCAGCTTCTTGTTTGAATTTTCTGGTACCACCTTAAATGGTGCAGCAGTTCTGATGCCTGAGGTGCCAGAATGTAACTGCCGCACTATTAAAAGTGGAATGGGAGATTTAGCTAGCTAGCTACTGAGACATCAGCTACTACCAATGATTTTTTATGCTTGTGATGAAGAAAAGGACCATAATACACTGAAACTACATTAAACTAAGATAATACAATGGTTATCATAATTTTTAAGAGAGAAAACTCTCACATTTGTGGGTTTCTTTGGTCGCTTGAGCAGCCATCTTGCCAGTTTTTATGTTTGCAGAGGGGTAGGGCTGAGTGGTAGGGGCAAGGGGTGAAATGGGATTGGGCCTTAGTATTTGACAATATGCCCATATAAGGGTGTAAGCAGTTGCTTACTATGGGGAAAAATTGGGCAGCATTCTCGAAATTTGCTGCCGTTGCCCCCTGTACAACACAAATGCTCCATAGCAGATACATTTAGACACATTTAGTCAGATATTTCTCAGTGGATGTTATAAAAATGTTCAACAACTAAATGACAAACAAAATTAAATACTGATCATTGATACTAAAACTCAGAGAAAGCTGCTTTATAAGAATCTCAGCCTTTTAGCTTCATATACCAAACATGAAGTAAGAAACCAGGGTGTGATCTTAGACTTTTCACTCCACAATTATTACTGTCAGACTGTAAAAACTACACACAGCAGATTCATACTGGTTTAAAATTGCTCCACAATTACTACTGTCAGACTGTCAAACTACACACACACACACACACACACACACTCACACACACACACACACACACAGCAGATTCATACTGGATTAAAATCGCTCCATAATTATTACCGTCAGACTGTAAAACTACACATGCTGCAGATTCATGCCGGATTAAAACCGCTCCACAATTATTACCGTCAGACTGTAAAACTACACAAGCTGCAGATTCATACTGGATTAAAATCACTCCACAATTATTATTGTCAGACTAAAACTACACACTATACAGATTCATACTGGATTAAAATCACTCCATAATTATTACCATCAGACTGTAAAAACTACACACTCTACAGATTCATACTGGATTAAAGTCACATATCTTGTTGCTAATCACTTAAATTACAGTAAAATGTCCCAGAAACATCCTAATACTCCAATATATCTTTAAATGTCTAAAACATGTCATTTTACATGTTGTACTCTTGCAATGATGCATTTTGGTAATTTATTTAAACAAATACCTGTTACAGTCCACGTGGAGCAGCACGTGAGAGGCGCTGATGGTCAGGGCGATTTTATGCCACTGACCGTCGGCCAGTCTGTAAGGGAAGGTCTCCGAGCGCGGTTTTCCGTTGTGGCGGTAATGGTAGCGGATTTCCTCCCGAAGGCCACTGCTCTCCAGCTCAAAATAACTGCAGGTGGAAAGGACACAAGAGAAAACTGGATTTGAACTGCTGGTTATTTTTAAAAACACCTTCACAGACAAGAGCAGCCCAAGCTAATTCGAGGCTACCCCATGCTACAAGGCAATTAGCATGGTGCTAACTGCATCCCAAAGTCATCATACACTCACCTAAAACTGTGTGGAGGTGTTCAGTATCTCTAATAGTCTTGATTATGTGGTTTCTGACACTGTATGACACACTTATCTATAAACATGGACAAAAACATGTCAGCATATAGCTAACAACGGTAGCAGCCATTCTGGAGTCTGATTATATCTGTGCTTGTGTCCATTTTAACAGATAGCACTGCCACTAAACTATTCCTCTTAAGACTAAGAAAAAGTGTTCTTCTACTGATACAAGCTACACATTGTAACAACAGAAGAAACCGTTTTGATGCTATACAAATCCCTTTTCAAAAAGGTTCTCCATCAACCTCCATCAATCTGTAGAATGCTTTCACAATGCGAAGAACCCTTTAATCATGGGTTCTTTGATTGCTCATGGTTCTATATAGAACTATTTTCTTAACTAAAGAACCCTTGAAGAACCATCATTTTTAAGTGTGTACATTAGTTTTACTACTGCGGCCACAAAGCTAAAGAAGAAAACTTCAGACACCAAACAGAATTATGATAAGCCTTCGTAAGATTTCTCTATATCCAGATTCACAGACGCAGAAAATGCAGGCCACTGCAAAACTGATAAGAGACATGCATCAGCCAAATCAACCCTTTTACAACCTCCTTCCACTCAATGCAGGTGAGAGAATGGGTTGTTTCCTGTGTTTTTGAGTTCAGAACACACATAAAAACCTCCCATTTCCCTAAACTGCATGAAACGCTGACCAGCATGAACAGGCACAGTAAAACTGAAACAGAGCCTCCATTCAGAATCTCCATTTCAGCTGGGAGGAGCTTTCAGATCTGCCTTGGTTGGTGTGGTACATACGCATCTGTGTATGCATTTTTACAAAACGGACAGTTCCAGTCCTAAAATCTGATTGGTTGAGCCGCGTTCAAAGGCGTCGTAAAATCCATGATATACACACACCTATGTCCGCTTCACAACAACTGAGTTGTGTATTACTTGTGCTTCTCGCATGGAGCACCGAGTGTCCTGATGAAGTTAGAACCCATTTCTTGTTTAAACTGAGGGGCTGGCGACTTAGTTTTATAACTACAACTAGACACTAAGGATATCTGTTATCCATGCCAATCAAGCGGAGCCTGTGTTAACTCCACCCACATCACCACGCTGGTAATGTATCCACAGATTCAGAAAACTAGTCTTATCTCAGAAAGAATCAATTATACAGATTTACAGTCTAATTTACAAACAGCTTTGACTGAAAATTCAGAAGTGTTCTTCAAAAATGAATTGCGCATTAACTGCCCACTGGCTTCTGTTATAAACGTTAAAAAATTAACAGGTTTTCAGTTATTCTTTAAGCACAGAGAAAAGTGTTAAAGTTATTATCGGAGAATGGATTGAAAAATGCTTGTGTAATCATTTTAACTGTGGCACATCAAACATTCACTGATGTGTTTCACCATATTACAATCATCTTCCACAGTCACAATATAGTACAATACATAATACTTAGCAATATTATGGGGTCCTCTAATCCTTCAGAGACAAACAAAGGGATTAAAATCTTGAAACGCCCAATGAAAAATTAACCAATCAGGATTGTTCTTTCTGTGGTATCTAGGTTGATACAGCCAAGCTGCTCTCTCATTGGTTAGGACTTCAGGTGCTGGACAGAAGGCCTTACACGTTAGATTAACTACCAACATAATTAGGAAGTGACAGAATATATTACAATACATCACCTTCTTCAGTCACAATAAAAAGCAATATTACTAGTGGAGAACCTCTCATTTTTGTCTACTAAAACAAAATACATGACTGGAATTTTTAGTTTATTTTATTTAAAAGAATCATCATACTTGATTTTACCATTGCCAGTATTGCAATAATCCTCTTATTTCATTGTTAGGTTTGGCTGGAAACTAAAGAATTAAAATCAACTGCCATTGGTTAGGACTTCAGGAGCTGAAATGAAGGTCTTACATGTAAGACTAACTACTAACATTATGACAAAATGACAGAGAAATTGACCAATCATGCTTTGATTTACAATGAGTGGAGCCGGAAAAAATAGTCCTTCTGGAAGTTCTAGATAACTGACTGTGAATACAAGTCATACTCTAAGCAGGTTCTGGTTAGTTGTTAGGAATGGAAAACAGTGACATCAGCTCTATGTCGGAAATCTTTACTGAAAGAGTCACTGTAAAACTGATACATACAAGCTCAGATAATGATGTTATAATGTCTGTTACAAACTTGAAATATCTGTGTTTAATCTACAACAGCCAAAAAAAAAAATGTAATGTGCACAAGCATTACCTTAAATGCTAACATCCAATTAGTAATCCCACAGGGACACTAGCAGGAATTAGCATTACTGTAAAGCAAACTGAAGGCCCAGCTCTAGCTCACCACGAAATATCGTAGCAATATAGTGTGCCAGCCCTAATCTAACATATGCCCTGTAATTCTGAGTTCTGTACGGAATGTGAGGCTTTTCGGGCAGTTTAGAGCCGTGTGGTTCGCTCTGATGCAATGGGTTCCTCTCCCACCACGTGTAGCCTCCACAACAGCAGCAGTTTGAAAGCTGCGCTGACCATGTGTCAGGGCTAACAAGGTAGACTGGGGAGGCACACATCAATTTGTATTTGTTTCTCCGATCAGTGAGAGAGGGAGAAGAGAGCGAGCGCACAGAGAGGAGAGAGAGAGCGAGAGAGAAAGCGAGAGAGAGAGACAGAGAGACAGAGAGAGACAGAAAGAGACAGAGAGAGAGAAGCTTTTGATCAGCTCGGATAAACACAGCCAGAAAAGCTCAGACTGTTCATCCTTCCATCCAGGGATTCTTCCTCAGCAGAGACGAACGCTGCTTTATTTTCCCACCATCACCGCCACGTTTCACTCCGCGTTCCTTCCAAACAGACTTCATCCATATTAATGCCCACCGAAACACACACTACTCTGCGGAATACCAAACAAGGCCTCACAAACCAGGAGTTTTTTTTTTCTGTTTTTATTTTTTCTCCTCTCACAAACTCCTGATCCTGGTGAAATATTGAGGAAAAAACAGACAAACTTTTCCTTGTCAGTTTTGACAGGTCACTCAGCGCTGCTATTAGAAGTGGTACATATATACATTTCTATGATTGTGTAATGGTGTATACACAGTTGCATGTTTTAGAGAATGAGAAAAGACTAAAATGAAACTTATAATGCGGTCCATGTAAGACTGTTACTTTTTCCATTTACTTATAGTAATCCCTCTATGCATGCTCCGCCCACAAAATGTGTTTTCATCTGCTACAAATGTGAGGTTGGATAAGCTTTACAAAACACTGATTATTAATTTCATTCAAGTGGTGGGGCTGAACTGCTGTAGGCTGAATGGGCAGGGCTAAACTGCTGTAGGCTGAACGGGTGAGGCTAAACGGGCGTGGGCTAAACTGCTATTGGCTGAATGAGTGGGACTAAACTGCTGTAGGCTGAACGGGCGAGGCTAAACTGCCGTAGACTAAATGGTCAGGGCTAAACTGCTGTATGCTGAACGGTTGGGGCTAAACTGCTGTAGACTAAGTGGGTGGGGCTAAACTGCTGTAGACTAAGTGGGTGGGGCTAAACTGCTGTAGACTAAGTGGGTGGGGCTAAACTGCTGTAGGTTGAATGGTTGGGGCTAAACTGTTGTAGGCTGAACAGTCGGGGCTAAACTGCTGTAGGCTGAACGGTCGGGGCTAAACTGCTGTAGGCTGGACGGTCGGGGCTAAACTGCTGTAGGCTGAATGGGTGGGGCTAAACTGCTGTAAGGCTGAAAGTGTGGAGCTAAACTGCTGTAGGCTGAACTGGAAGCTGAATGGGTGGGGCTAAACTGAATGGGCAGGGCTAAACTGCAGCAGGCTGAACAGGTGGTTCATATGTAAATGTTTTCAACTATTTCTAATTAATCTATCAGTGTTCAAAAAAACTGAATGAAGCTGAACATAAACAAATTAGAATTATGCAAATGACATCATGCTAATTGGTGGTAAATATCTTCCATTCATTGTTAGCTATTAGGACACCCTTGATTGAAAAATGTTTTAAATGTTCAGAGCTTCTGAATCTTTGTGCTACTGAACTTTTCAGTCTGTTAGTGTCAGTATTTCAGACGTCAGGTCAATTAACCAGAAAGTTTGACGGACATAGCAAAAACAAGTTAAGAGCTCAGAACTAAGGGAGGAGGGACTTTCTCAGAATTCTGCGAACGGTCAGTTACTGACGCACTGCTGAAAGCGGAAATCCTGTTACAGCAGACAGCAGTTCATTAGGAGTCTACAGACGTCTGTGCGCTCGTGTGGAGTCTCAGCAGAGTTCCATGAAGAGGCCAGGTGTCTCAGCGCTATTTCTGGACCTCTGAGATGAGACTTTTTGGGCTACATTCTCCATCAGTCCTCTCCAATCCTGCCGAGACAAAACAAAAATAGAGGGGCAGCTGCTGAGGGGCTTCAGCACATTAATCTTAGTTTAATCACAGCAATATGGGCTTCCATTGACAGCAATAGTAAAGCGTTTGGGATCGACACCCATTTGTTTTTCATTAACCTGGATTAAACTAATTTAAGAGGGCTTGACAAAGCCAACTTCCTGTTCTCTGTTTTTTTTCCTTCTAGCCGTTTTTGTGCTGTATTCACAGAGCTAGAACCACATGACTGGTGGAAACTATATGCAGAGGTGGAAAGTAACAAATTACAGGTACAAATATTTTACTCGAATAAGTATATTTTTTCCCCTGTAACTGTACTTTAAGCAGAATTAAATAATAGCACTTTTGAGTTCATTTCTAATTCTTTTACTTCTCTAATTAAATTTTTTTTAACCCAACTTTTCTCCCCAATTTAGTCGTT